TGGAACTTCTCTGGGTAGTTCTAAGGGAGAAGGAAGACCAAAGGAACCAAGGTTGGGGGAAAGTCACTTGCTCAAGGACCCAGAGCAAGGAGTAGGGAGATGGAGGTCTGGCTCCCAGCTCTGAGATCCTCCCCAGTCATCTATCCCTGACTCAGCCTTACCAGGCTGTACTGTGGGAAGGAGGAGGCTGGCTGGCTGGGGAGAGTCCTGGATCAAAGACAAGAGCTCTGCATTTTTTTCCCAGCTTAGATGATTTGCCCTGGGTCTTTCTGGCCTCAATCCCCCCATCTGTGAAAGGAGAAGGTCAGAATAGATCAAGAATGACAAACTCATGGCACATATACAATACTCTCTTATCCTCTGCCCATGGCAGACATGACTAATCTATCACAGCACTCTTTCCCATGAAGCCAACACTAAGCCTCAGAATGCTTCTCAACACAGCACTCTAGGCCAGGGGGATGAAAGCTCAGAGCCTTTCCTAAACTAGATAATATCTGAGTCCCCAAGAGGGAAAAGAATGGGGAAAGAAAAATATAAAAATTTCCAAGCACCCAGTAGATTTGAGCCACTGGGAATACATTAGCTGATTTAATCCTCACAAGGGAGGTGTGCAGAGGCTGAGGTTGAGAGAGACTAAGTGACTTGGCTTTGGACAAACAACGGGGAATGAGGCCTTGAACACAGAGGAGGCCTCTACTGGGTATCCCTCCCCCAGGAACACAGTCACGGAGCCAGCCACCAGGTGGGGACCTAAGGTACAGCCTCATACCATCCTCTTGTTAGCCTTACTAGGTACAAGCCCTAGGCCCATTTCACAGCTTCAGAAACTGAATCACAGGACAGGGAATCAGCTGCCAGAGGAGGCAGGACTTGAGCAGGTGCCTGGCCCTCCCCCGCCTCCACTGATTGAGTCCCTAATGTGTGCTAAGCACTTTATTTCTGTCCTCTTGGGACATCCTGGGAACCATGACTCACTATCCTACTTCAGGGATGAAGAAACTGAGGCTCCCCAGAGGAGGTGGCCCCCAGGAGTTCAAGGGGAAGCCAGAGGGGTTTTCCATGGAGATAAGGGGTGGGAGCCTGGGAGGGGAAGGAAAGGGCTGTGGGAATCCGAAGGGAGATAGAGATGTGGGGACACACACCGAGGCAGGAAATGAAGCTCCGGCAAAAGGCCCAGAGCAAGGAAGTGGCAGCCTTTTTCAGTGGCTCTACTGGACTAGGAGTCCAGAGCCCTACAGCCAAGGCCTGACCCTGTCACTTGGCAACTGGGAGACCCTAGGCAAGTGGCTTTCCCTTCCCGGGTCTTAGTACTTACAACTGGAAAATGGGGCCAATTGCACCGAAGGCAGGCTTTGAAGAAGCGGGGCTAGGCTAGACACATGGCATTCTCCCCCGTTCAGCCTCTTCACACACAGAGAAGGCAAAGAGAGTGCAAGGCAGGACTCAAAGTCACCCTGCACATTGGCAGCCTTGGCTGCCAACATCCTCTCCTGAGCCAGCCCTGCCCCAACCAGCATCTTCAGACTCAATGAGATCACCCAGGCAAAGGCTTGACCACAGAGATGGCAGGGCCAGACCCAGAGAGGCCAAGTGACCTGTCCAATGCAACAGTGCAAAGCAGGTCCCATTTGCCAAGTACCTACCGGTGCCAGACACTGGGCACACAGCCCTCCTTTAACCCTAATCTAACAAGGAGATAGCTATTGTCCCCATTTTCATGACAAAGAAACTAAGTCTCTCAAAAGATACAGTAAATGATCCAAAGACACACAGCAAGTGGGACAGTTGCAACATAAACCCAGGCCTGTCTGACTCCTGAGCCCTTATCAAATCTTTGGTCCCCATCTCTCGGGCTGACCCCTCCCTGCTCCCCACCTCACTCCCAGCTTCCCGCCACCCAGCATTGCACTTCCCACACCCCCGGCTCTCATCCTCTCCAGCCTTGCTGCTAGTGAACTTCTACTCCACTTCCAAAGCCCAGCCTCAAATACCCGATCCTCTTGAGACCTGATCTAGGCCTCCATAAAATACTGGAGTCCAGCCCACAAATCTAGTTCTATCGCCAGATCTTTCTATTGGTCAGCTCTGTACCTCTGGCCTCCAGCCTGAGGCTGTTCACACAGGGGACACCAATCAGCCCCCTGTGTGACGATGAAGGCCAAACTCCTCCCCAGGGCCCACAAGGCCCCAGCATGGTCCGGCCCTGCTGATACACCCACTTGTTCTACCTCTTACCCACTCCCCTTCATTGTGTACACTCCAGCCTCACAGCTTCTCCCACTGATTCTCCATGACAGCACACATCTTGGCACACACCCCAGGGCCTTTGCACGTGCACTTCCTGCTGCCTGGCAAGCCCTTTCCCTAACTCTATGCCTGGTCAACCCCTACATGCCTCCTTCAAGATTCCTCTGTACCCCAGGCCTCTCTCCCTGAGCCCTTATCATATCTGTGATTATACAGTAACTCAACTGGCAACTTGTTTGCAACTTTGCTCACCCTCCAGATTCAAACTTACGGGAGGCCAAGGACCTGTTCCCAGACTCCCAGCAAGTATCCAACCAGGCTGACCACACCCCACCACCCCAGGGCCCCTGGGAAGGGAAAAAGAGCTCCCTCTCCCCTTCTTTGCTGAGTGAACTCTTGCTAGTCCTCAGCTCAGGCCCTGCCACCTTCTAGAAGCCTCCAAGACTCCCACAGCTCCCACTCCCTACTAACTCCAGCACAATACTGCTCAGCCCCAGTTCCAAGTTTCTGGTACACAGCAGGTGCTCAATACAGGGGTCACAAATGCTTATACATGGGGAGGTCTGAGAAAATAGGGTCAGCTGAGGACCAGAGAGATGGGCATAAGGTCCCTCAACAGGTCACCGAGCCATCTCCTCTCCGGTTCCTGGGGCTTGAGGGAGCCAGACATCCCTCCACCCCACCCCCCAGGTCACAATCAGAGAAGCAAAAGCAGGAACCAGGCTGAGTTGTGGGTAAGTCATGCTCCAAGAAGAGCTAGGGGACAGGGAGAGACAGCCAGGGCCCTTCTTCCTAGAAGAGATGGGCCTAAGCTAAGCCTGGTGGGGCAAGGGTAGATAAGCAGCACCTGGAGGAGAGGGCGCTCTGGGAGGGACACTGTTTAGAAGCAAAGGCCCAGGGGCACGCAGGAGGGCCTAGGCAGGCAGTCAGCTGAGAGAGGTGACACACTGTAAATCATTTCCTTGGGTGGAAAGACCACATCACCACATCACCAAAAAGGCCTCGTGGCTTTCATTCAATCCCTCGGCACAACAGTCTTTTCCGGCCCTAATGTGTGCGCAGTCCTGTCTTGGGAGCCTCCGCTGCCCCATCACTGGAGGGATGCAAGGGCAGCCAGACTGTGGTCTCTGAGGTCTGGGCTTTCATTCCAGCTTGCAACTGTATGGCCTTGGTCAAGTCCCTTCCCCTCTCTTAGCCTCAGTTTCCCCATCAGCAAAATGAGGATAAACAAGAGTCCTTACCTCCTAAAAGGTGTTCAGTAGATGTTGGCAGCTGTCATTACCATTGGCCCAGTTTTATACGTGGCAAAACTGAGGCCAGAAGGGAAAAGTGAGTTGCTTACAGTCACCCAGCTGCTGGCTGGCAGGATGGTGCCAGGGCTGTTTCTTTCTCAAGGCACCAACCCATCTTCTTCTAGGATGAACTAGCCAGCAACCTCACATCTCACTCATCTTTCTCAGCCAATGCGTCCAGTGAACAATTCATTTATTGAGCATCTACTACATGCCAAGCCTCTACCTGCAGAAGCGCTTAGAATCTTCACCTGAGGATTCTCATTTCACGTATGGGGACTTAGTGGGGCAGTCTCTTGGCCCAGGTCACTGGGCAAGACAAGAAGCCTCAGTGCTTTGACTCCCCAGCCAGGGGGCTGAGAAGAGGGTCTGCAAAAGGACCAGCCTGGCCCACCCTAGAAACCAAGTCTGATCCCAGCTGCACTGTGGCTGTGGCTGGGCCTGGACTTACCCCAGGTGACCCAGCAACCACTGCCCCAAATTGTACAGAGTCCATGAAGTTCAGGAGGCCTTGCCCAGGGGCACACACAGGCTCTGTCCACTCCTAAGTCCACCTGAAGGACACAGGTGCTGAAAGGATACCACAAAGGTGAGCCCCTTCTGTTCACCCCATCCTTCCACCAGCCCAGCAATTCCAGCCAGGCCCACCTGCCACCAATGAGGACCCCAGTTCAGAGAGGCAGGCAGTTGTCTGAGGACACACAGCAGGGCAAGTGGCAGCCCTGGTGCAGGACTCAAACCCACCCCCAATCCCAGCCCAGGCAGACAGGTGGACCTGGCCCGGTGGCCAACACCCAAAACTTTTGCCAACTTCTGAGCCGGCTGGTGGCTGGGCCTGCTCTGGGGCGAGGCTGGGGGCTGTGGGCAGTGGAGACTAAACGCAGTCTGGCCCAGTCCCTTCCAGGCCGGCAGCACCAGGCCCTACCCGAGGCCCCATGAGGGCAGGGAGGTCCTGATGGTTCGGCCTGGCGCCCTGACCCCGGGGCCCCTCAGCCTGCCCTGCCGGGCCCCTCCACCTCCCACCCTGGGCCGGGGGGCGCAGGACCGGGCAGCCCAGCCAGAGGCGGCGCCGACTGGCTCAGATTTCAGATTTGGCCTAGACCTGGCCCGGGGGCTAGGGCCCAGCTCACCCGCTTCTCTGGGGGATCCTATGGGGAGCACTAGCTGGAGGGGGTCCCCACGCAGCCAGGACCCCTGCGTCCCCCCGCCCAGTCCCCTCCCCCCGCGGCATCACAACAAAAGGCCGCGCTGGGCATGGCCCTGTGCGCCCGCCCGGCGCTCGGGTATCGCGGCTCGGCCCGGGGGGTGGGAATTGGGGGATGGACAGGAGCCCCCGCGGGCCCGCGATCCGACCCAGGTGGTCCAGGGCGGGGGCTCCCCCGCGCTGGCCGGGACGGGGGGCCCGCGGAGGGGCGGGGGGCGCTCACCTGGGCCGGCGGGCGGGCGGGCGCACCGGCAGACGGACGCACGGAAGGGCGGACCGCGGGACGGCCGGCGGGTAGGGCAGACGGCGGCCTGGCCGCTCCGGCTCCCAGGCCGGAATGGATTCCGGGCTGGGAGAGACAGATCGAGAGAGAAAGGGAGGAGGAGGAGGAGGAGGAGGCGGCGGCGGCCCGGGGAGGGGAAGAGGAGGGAGGGAGCGCGCGAGCTGGGAGGAGGGGCCCGGCAGGCAGCCGGGAGGAGGAGGAAGGAGGAAGCGCGCGGGGACGGATTCCCCGCCGGTGACCCGGGAGAGACCCAGGCACGGCCGGGGTCCGGGCGGGGTGGGGACACCGGGCACAGAAGCCCCGCCTCCCACTCCGCCAGGGCGTCCCACCCCGCGGGCCCCATCCGCCCCCAGGCCAAAATGCCCTCCTCGACCCACCCACCCTCTACGCCCCAAATCTGCCTCTCCCGAAATCACAATTAGTAATAATATCAGCGGGCGTGGAGCGCCGCTCTGGGCCAGGCGCCACGCTAAGCTGCTCAGGTCGACTTCAGGGTTTAATCCTAACCACCACCTGGCCTGAGTGGCGGAAGATCGCCCCACTTTACAGATGGGGAAACTGAGGCACTGACAAGAACCAGGCCCTGGACTTTAACCTTGACCTGAGTTTCTCAAAGTGGGGGCTGGGGCAGGAGGGACAGGGTGGGGAGGAGCGACCTTTATTTTAATAGTTGTGGGTTCATTTTAAGTGCGTAAGGAAAAAACATCCCTGGCAGCCCACTGGAAGTACCCTAGTTCCAGTTATTACTGCTTAGGAGGGGTTGGCCAGGGCATGGGAGTGGCACTCACACTTCCAAGTAAGTAAAGAGGCTAAGTATCTCTGAACCAGGGCAGGAAGTGTAGCGGAAAAACGGGACATTGAGGAAATGTTGCTTTAGGACACAAAGACTCCCCTATCACCCCCTGGCACAGGCTCCAGGGCTATCCTTTTGGGGCTAGGCACCCCACCCTTGGCTCCTCACCTGTCCTGGAATCCTAGCACAGGGAAAGGTGGACCTGGGTCCTGCTTTAAATATCACACCTGCCTCCATGTTCCTTCTTTGAAAGTTCTCCCATTTCACAGATGGGAAATTAAGGCCCAGCCAGGTCAAAGACAAATAGAAGCCTTTGCCAGGCTTCTATTCCCTGGGCAAAGGTCCCCGCTGAGAGGAGCCGGGAGGAGCACCCTAGAATGTGGAAGGCAAAGGCCTCTGGGTACAAAATACCTTCCAGGAGACCAGGAATGAGCAAAGCCTTACTCTACACTGATCTAGGTTCGCATCTAGGCTAGCTGCCCCTCTGTTGTGGGGTGGACAAGTCCATCAGCTTCCCAGCCCAGCCCCCTCACCTGTAAAACCGGAGTGAACGTGGCCAGAGAAGATTCCTGGGAAGGCTGAAACTGACCAGTGTGAGGATGGTCGGGTTGTGCTAGATGAATAGTAGCTCTTCCGGTGATAAACTGAGGCCAAAGGGGAAAGGGGCTGCTTGAGGTGCCACAGCCAGTCAACAGCAGAAGCCAGGCGAAATGGCTGCCCTTGTTTGCAAGGCTGGCTTAAAGATTAACCGCAGCTTCTCAGGGCTAGGCGGGCCCCCGGCTGGAGAAGCAGGTTTCTCAGCCCTCTTCCATTCCTTAGACATGTCTAAAGGCCTTTACTGGCCGTACGGGGCTCTGGGGGAGGCAGGTATATTCACCCAGTGACACGCTGGAGCTGGCCCTTGCCTACTTGCAAGAACCGACTGTGCTCATCTCTTCCCAAGTCCATATTCAAGAATGTCACACTGGTTAGCTCCATGTCAGCCATAGTGGGAGTATTTACCCCTTGGACATCAGAATACGCTACCAATCAAGCCTCTTTTTTCTTCCACAGAGCTGGTGGTTCAATATGTACCAGCACATCACTAAATTCATCCCCAGGAGTTCAACAGAAAATTCTGGGCTTTTCGAGAACTGGGATGACAGAGAGCTTAAAAGTACAGATTTTGGACCAGACCCAGGTTCAAGTCTCAACTCTGCCACTTTGCAGATAATGTAAGAAGCCTCAGTATGCCAACCTGAACAGTGGGCTAAAGATATCACAGCCCCCAGAAGACGCACGTAAGGATGAAATGAGGTGATGCCCGCTCAGCACATGTGAAATCTCATTCTCATTCATACCCTACACGCTCTTATCAGAGAGGAGGCAACTCAGACAAGTAAGGGTTCTGCAGGCAGATGCAGCTTCGCACCTGAAGCTACCGCCGGCTTCAAGGGCCTGGCTCAGCGGCTGAGGTTCTCAGGAGGATGTGGCCAGCACAATGGTTTCATTATTGAGCGTTTGAAGCGCTCTTTATTTTTAATCACCCCTCTGGGCTTTTGCTCAGGCTGTAACCCCTGCCAGGAATGCTCAGCCCCTGTCCCTGGCTACCTCGCCTTGTTCTTCAAAGTCCAGAGTAAATGCCACCTTCTCCACAACATGCTTCCTGACACACCCTGATGGAGGCACGTGCCAAGTCCATTCTGAGTGTGTCTGTCCCCACCCTGAGGGCAGTGACCAAGGCCTGGCCCATGCCCAGCACAGAGCAGGCACTGCCCAGTTGGCCAGGCAGCATACACTGACTTAGGACCTACAGACAAGAGTTCAAGTTCCAGCTCTTCCCTTCAGTGACTATGTGAACCTGCCTTCTCTGGGCCTCAGTGTACTCATCAGTAAAACGAGGGTAACAACCCTGGCAAGCTCCAGGATTATGCAGTTGGGAGTTGCGGGTCTGGCCTGGTGGATAAGTGACTCTTTGTGCAAATTATTTTGCTTAAAACATTCTTTGTTGGTAAAGCAGCAACTCACTGCTTAATTCCTGCAAATCATCATTAATGGACAGCAAGCATTTATTGACTACCAACTGTATACATGGCCCCAGACCAGTCTTAGAACACCAACAGGAACCACTTCCCAACCCAAAAGCACCCAGCAGATGATAGATGCTACTGACGTCAATGTTGCTGAGATGGTGAGTGCTGGTCGTATAGTCCTCTGTCTCCAGAAACCTCCTCTTCCCTCCTTCCCTCAACCTGGGTGGGTCAAAGCCACAACTGAGGGGAGGGTGGAGGAGGTAGGGTGAGGCAGTGAACCCACCAGTCAGAGTTGTCCCATCACATGGGATTAGAGGTGCTGCCCACACCACACCTAGTGCCCTGGTGACTCTGGCTCAATGGTGGCTGATCTGCCATGCCCAGCCCCAGCCCAGCTCACCCTTGCTGCAGCAGCCAGGAAACTGGACCCATCACAGGCCTCAGTGGGAAATTCCAGACCAGCTCCGCCATTCTCCACATGGTGTGCTGTGAGTGGTCTAGTTGAAGCCACCAGGCTCAGGGCTACAAGATAGGGTTGGGTGAGGGATGGGCTCTAGCCTGAGGCTGTGGAATGGGTTTGGCACCTCCCCTGGCACTGCACTTCACAGTTTCCACAGAGATGTCCTGCTGTGCAGGCCCTGGTACCCTCCCCTCCTCTACCTGCCTCCTGCTGTCGCTCCACAAGCAGTCCCTGTCCTGAGGCCTTTGCACGTGCTGATCCCTCTGCCTGGAAGGTTCCCACCCCCTGGCCCTTGGCTGGGCTGCACTCATCCTTCCTCCTGCAGTGGTCATTTATTGAGCATCTACTATGTGCTAGGGTCTGCGCTACATGCTGGGATACCAAGTGAAAAAACCAAGGCTGATCTCTGGTCTCTAACTTAGAGGAGTCAGGGATGGGCAAGTACAGGGGCTGCAGGGCCCAGAGCGAGGCCCCTAACCCAGCATGTGTGTTGAGGAGAGAGTTGTCTATGGAGAGTTTAGAAGCCTGGGGAAATGGTTGCCAGGTGAAAATGAGACAGGGAGGCAGGGCATGGTGGGTCATGCCTATAATCCCAACACTTCGGGAGGCTGAAGCAGGAGGATCACTTGAGCCCAGGAGTTTGAGACCAGCCTGGGCAACACAGTGAGGCCCTGTCTCTACAAAAAAAACCTAAAAATTAGCCAGATGTGATGGTATGCACCTGTGGTCCTAGGTATTGGGAAGGCTGAACTGGGAAGATAACTTGAACCCAGGAGATTGAGGCTGCAGTGAGCCATGATCATACCACTGTACTCTAGCCTGGGTGACAGAGCAAGACCCTGTCTCAAAAAAAAATAATTATAATAACAAACAGGACAGGGCCAGTGTGCAGGTAGAGGGACAGCATGAGCAAAGACAGAGATGGGGATGCCACTGCGTCTGGAACTCCATGCAGAAGCACGTGGTGTTTGCAAAGCACGGCATGGCGGCTGGGCTGGAGTCAGGAAAGTAAGGTGGGAAGGGTGGCAGGGGAACCTGAGGATCCCTGAGTGCCAGTCGTGGCTTCCGTCCTGGAGGTGGTGGGAGCCATGGAGGGTGGTGAGCAGAGCAGGGCCTGGGGAGATGTGGAGTGGCAGCCACATTAGGGGACAGGGAGGGGGCAGTCAGGAGGCCTCTGTGCTGAGGAGCAGCAGGGACCCAGTTAAGGCAGAAGGCCTGGCTCACACAGGAGTGTGTGCATGGGCATATATCTGTGTTCCAGGAAGTGAGGCCAAACTGGCCGAAGGTGGGAAACCAAGACACTAGAGACTCCCAGCCACATGGGAGTCAGGAGCCAGGAGCCGATGAGCTTGTTCTCCCGCAGCGGCCAGCGCCGGGAGGGGCGTCCGTAACATGGATGTCAGAGGCAGAAAAGAAAAATCTGAAAAACTATCAGAGCAAAGAGGAGACATGATCCTGGGGCAGAAAAAAGACATTAGGGAAAGACTTAGGAAGTCTGACTAAAGCATGGACTTCAGTTATAATAATATATCAGGCCAAGGGCAGTGGCTCACACCTGTAATCCCAGCATCGAGGCTGAGGCGGGAGGATCACTTGAGTCTAGGAGTTCAAGATTAGCCTGGGCACACAGTGAGACCCCTGTCTCCACAAAAAACAACAAAAAATTAGCTAGGCATGGTGGTGTGCACCTGTATCCCAGCTACTTGGGAGGCCGAGGCAGGAGGATCGCTTGAGCCCAGGAGGTCAAGGCTGCGGTGAGCTGTGATCATGCCACTGCACTCTAGCCTAGCAAACAGAGTGAGACTCTGCCTCTGAAATTTTTTAAAATAATAATAATGTATCAATATTGTATTGATTCATTAATCATAACAAATGTGTCCCCGTCAGGGAAGAGATGGAGACAGCAGCACCTGAGCAGGTGGCGCCCGAGTGGTGACCTACAAACGGCGTTAACCACTGAGCACAGCCCCACACACTCAAACCCCACAGCCGGACCTTCTGGGCTGTGTGGCCGGTTCTCAGATGGGCACCTCAGGCTCAAAAGTGTCTCTACCCAGCCCAGAATCTGGAGACAAAACACTGACGTCAAAGGCAGAAAAGACCTGTCCATGTGAAAATGGGGGAGACGCCTGGCCCCACTGGGCTCACGTGACGGCCAAGTGCCAAGAAACTCAGCCACTCACCACCTCACTCACCTCAGGCTGCAGAAGAGGCCCAGAGAGGGACAGGCATTCTCCCAAGGTCACACAGAGAGTCGCTGGCAGGCAGAGCCACCACCCCACCCCAGCCCAGGCCTCCTTCCGCCACATCCCAGAATGTTTGTGAGAAAAGATGAAAGGAGGCTGGGCCCTTGATCTGCCTGGCCTGACGGGAGGGCAGAGGGCAGCCGGAAATCTGCAGCTAGAGCTGTGACCCCACAGTCCACAGGGGGCGAGAAACCCGCCGCACAGAGAGGAGACGGTCACGACGGGAGGGCTGAAAGAATCATTGTAAAAATAATCACCACGGCTCACAGTCCTGGTGCAAGGAGTTTCCTGAGCAGGGAATTGCTTCCAGGGACCCTGGAAGTAGTATCTAGTTCATTCTTCACAACGCAACAAGGTAGGAGCTATTGTTATCCCACCGTACAGATGAGGAAACTGAGACTCAGTGAAGTGACATGACGTGGTGAGGAAGGGCAGGAACTTGAATTTAAACCCAGGCAAAATTCAAGCCTTCCTGGCTGGGCGCGGTGGCTCACGCCTGTAATCCCAGCAGTGTGGGAGGCCGAGGCAGGTGGTTCCCAGAGGTCAGGAGACTGAGACCAGCCTGGCCAACATGGTGAAACCCCGTCTCTACTAAAAATACAAAAATTAACCGGGCGTGGTGGCGGGTGCCTGTAGTCCCAGCTACTCAGGAGCCTGAGGCAGGAGAATTGCCTGAATCCAAGAAGCAGAGCTGAGATTGCAGTGAGCTGAGATTGCACCACTGCACTCCAGCCTGGGCGACAGAGCGAGACTCCCTCTCAAAAAAAAAAAAAAAAAAAAAAAAATTTAAGGCTTCCTGAATCTGGAACTCCGGCACTGCAGTTCTGTGCTACCCGGGTCTGTGAACCTCGAAGCTCACGTATTTCATATCCAAGAGCGAAAGGCCGGATCCACAGGGCCGGGCAGGGAACCACTGCAGCCCCTCTGAGCACTGGCCTCCACCTCAGTGGAATGCCTCCATCCTCCACATTTCCTAGGCACTGGGAAGATACAATGTAGCAATGCTTTGTGGGAGTACTTTGAAAAGTAGATAGAAGAAAAAATGTTCACACTATACTCCACCCTCAAGGAGGGGGAGCATGACTCCCCAGTCCCTAGGTGTGGGCTGTGCTTGGTGGCTCCCTTCCAAAGAATTCAGGGTGGAAAGAGGGGTGGGGGTGGTGCCTTTGCAGTGCAGGAACCTTACGAACGCTATCTCAGCCAGGTGATCAGGGCCAACAGGCCTGCTGATAACATTTGCCCTTGAAATGATGTGATGAGAATGGCATTTTACCTCTGTGGTCTTTCTCCTCAGAACCCGGAACCCCAGTCTAGCCATGAGAAAAGCTTCAGACAGATTCCAATAGCGGGGCATTCTACAGAACACCAGACTAGGCCAGGCACTGTGGCTCACGTCTATAATCCCAGCACTTTGGGAGGCCAAAGCGGGAGGATCGCTTGAGGCCAGGACTTCAAGACCAACCTGGGTGACATGGCAAGACCCTATCTCTACCAAAAAACAAATTAAAAAAAAAAATTAGCTGGGCGTGGGGGCACATGCCTATAGTCCCAGCTACTCAGGAGGCTGAGGTGGGAGAATCGCTTGAGCCTGGGAGGTGCAGGCTCCAGTGAGCTATGATTGTGCCACGGTACTCCAGCCTAGGTGACAGAGTAAGACACGATCTCAAAAAAATAAAAAACAAAAAAGGTCAGGCGTGGTGGCTCATGCCTGTAATCCCAGCACTTTGGGAGGCTGAGGCAGGTGGATCACAAGATCAAAAGATCGAGACCATCCTGGCCAATATGGTGAAACGCCATCTCTACTAAAAATACAAAAAATTAGCTGGGCCTGGTGGCAGGCACATGTAGTCCCAGCTACTGGGGAGGCTGAGGCAGGAGAATCGCTTGAACCCAGGAGGTGGATGTTGCAGTGAGCCGAGATCACACCACTGTACTCTGGCCTGGCAACAGAGCAAAAATCCATCTCAAAAAACAAACAAACAAACAAAAACACAAAAAACAAAAAACAGAACACCTAACTAGTATTCCTCAAAACTGTCAGGGTCATCAAAAAAAGAAAAGTCTGAGAAACTATCAAAGCCAAGAGGAGACATGATCCTGGAAGAGAAAAAGGACACAGGGGCCGGGTGCAGTGGCTCACACCTGGATTCCCAGCACTTTGGGAGGTCAAAGCGGGTGGAACATCTGAGATCAGGAGTTCGAGACCAGCCTGGCCAACATGGTGAAACTCCGTCTCTGCTAAAAGTACAAAAATTAGCCAGGCATGGTGGTGTGTGCCTATAATCCCAGCTACCCAGGAGGCTAAGGCAAGAGAATATCTGGAACCCAGGAGGTGGAGGCTGCCATGAGCCGAGATCGTGCCACTGCACTCCAGCCTGGGCAACAGATAGAGACACCATCTAAAAAAACAAAAAAAGACACTAGGGAAAAACTAAGAAACTCCATATCAAAT